CCGCAGCTGTGCCAAGCACCCTGAGATTGTCTGCCTGTGGCGTCTGCAGGCCCGTGGTCTGGACACAGATCCAGGCTGGCACAAGGCTACAGCACAGGGTGAACACTGGAGGTGTCTCAGCTGGAACTCCATGGGCAGAGGGTCTGCTTCGGGCCTCCAGCAGTTGTTGGCAGCCTCGGTCCTTGTGGCCGTTGGCCTCCGGCCACCTTCAGATCCTTGAGATCTGCGACTTTCTGACCATCCTGTGAGCGGCCTCCAAGCCAGCAAGGGTGAGAGTTCTCTCGAGCAACTAGCAGTTTGAGCATTTAGATCATGTGACGTGATCACAGAAGTGATGTCCCCTCACCCTTGCTTTCCTCTGTGCTTTGGAGCCAAGGCCAATGGTCACGTAGACTGAGCAGGAATTCCCCAAGGAGCGGGGTTTCAGCCGGGAGACTGGGATCTAGGGAATCACGTAGGAGCCTGCCCAGTGTGTCTGTAAACTCCGGGCCCAGGAACCAGTAGGGATTTACTGTAATCATTTCCGTCTTTTCAGTATGTTTGCTTCATCCTGTGACTAGCAAAAGTGATGTTCTATGTAAATGATTTAGTCTTCCCTGATATGTTCTCATTAGGGCACCATTGCTTGGTGCCATAAAAGGTAGATATTTACAGTTTATCAAGGAGAAAACTGTTCTTGAACGAGCCCTAGTTGCCTCAGGGAGGAACTTACAAGGAAAAAAAAGAAACAGGAGGGAAAACAATTCGTAGCATAAAGACATATTTAAAGTGAGTTGGGGATTCAGTCATATCCCCTCGGGATTTACCCTGAACCCCTGTACCGCAGTTTGTAGAACCTTTGTCAGTGCAGGCATGTGGATGAATCACGGCCATTGCTTGGCCAATGCGCTCTCTGTGAAAGCCTGAGAGAGTGTTTTCTCTCCATGTGACTCTCCTTAGGCACACTCTACATCATCGATCACTTTCCTCTTTGGCCCCACAATCTCCTTGAACAGACTGTCCTACTAAACTGTTTTGAAACTGTCTCATTGCTATTTCTTTTTCGATAAATTAATTAAAAATAAATAAAAAATTAAAAAAATAAAGTGAGTTGGGGTATACCTTAAAGCACTAGCTTAATTCCCATGGGACCCTGGGTTCAAACCCTAGCACTGCTGAGAGAGAGACAGACAGACACATACAGAGACAGAGAGAGAGAGACAGAGAGAGACCGAGAGAGACAGAGACAGAGAGGGAGATGGACAGAGAAAGAGGGAGATAGGGAGAGAGACAGAGAGAGGGAGATAGAGCCCAAGAACAATGTTGAGAATCTATCCAATATGGGATTTTGAAAGGCCATTCTTCTCAGAGACTAGGTTTATGGGAAAAGCGATAATTTATGAAGAAACAAAGTTGGGTCATTAGTTAGATTTTAAATGCAAAATAAGAATAAGCAGTCATGGGCAAAATTAAAATCTTAATGAATGAAATGCATCCATGATTTTCAGTGCTTTAATATATGAGAGACCCAACAGAGCCAGTAATGCATTTTAAATATTTGGCTCATTAGCTGGTAAAAAATGATCTGCATGGAGAGGCCTGGAGGTGGCAGGGGGAGCCAAGGTCTGGCCCACTTACAAGTACCACTGCCACACACTAGTGACAAGCAGCGTGGCAGGTAGGGATCCCCCATCCTCCCTGTGCTTCTGGAGTTTCTTGAGAGGGGCTGCCCTCAGGCAGGTGAGCCGGTGGCAGTGGGCACCAAGAAGGCGTCAGAAAGATGTTCTTCTCTCCAGCACTGAGAGAATCCAGGGTTTGGAAGGAGTTTGGCCCCTGAGCAGCCTCTCTCAGGTTGGGTTGCTGAATGAAAATCTGGACACAAAGGGAAGAGAGAACGCCCAGCCATTTCTTTCCCTTTGGCCTCCCTCATAGACCAGGCAGCTCCAGGATGATGCTCCTCAGGTCCCAGGGTGGCTTGGTTTCCAAGGTTACTGGAAAGAAGAGGAAACTCAGGAAGGCCAGTTATGGATAACCTCAAAATACAGCCCAAGAGATGATTCATTAATGCTGGAGGAACGTTCCAGGCTGTGTGTCCAGGTTACCCGACAGTAGAATTTTAGCTCCCACATGCTGAGCAGTTTCAGAAGTGGCTTGCTGTAGGCAAGTAAGACAGAATATTTGTGCACCGCCTTTTATTTTGCTCTGGGGATACAGGGGCTTAACTGTTTCATTAAAATTCAAGGGTTTTATAAACATTTGGGGGTAAGACTTTCCTTTGTCCTCCCTGCTGTGAGCGTGCCTGTATGCGTTTGTGTGTATGCATGTGTGTGTGTGTGTGTGTGTGGTTGTGTGTGTGTGTTGAAAAGTGAGATTAGGGCTAAGGAGTCTAAGGGTGTCCATCTTTTCAAAAATCTGAGAATCAGTTCACAAAAGGGAGATGACCTTCCAGTTTTTGCTTCTACCTACAGTGAGCTGCGTACATGTAATTTGAATTAAGGGCACAGTTTTCTGTTATTCTGAATTTTCTCAACGTTCTCAAAACCAAATATCAAAAAGCATGGCAGTCCTTCTGAAATCCCCCAGGATCAACATGTAGGTTACTGTTGGGGACGCTGTAGGTTCTCAACGTTCTCAAAACCAAATATCAAAAAGCATGGCAGTCCTTCTGAAATCCCCCAGGATCAACATGTAGGTTACTGTTGGGGACGTCCCCTGTGGGGACGCTGCATGACCCTGCAGGGTTTCTAAGGATAAAGGCTTTTAGTCTGTTGGATCCCGCTTCGTGCTAGCCTCTGCGCACTCCGGGCCAGGCTCTGTGGTCCTAGTCACAAGTCTCGCTAGGGGAGATAGCCTTTCTCACTAGGACACATAGACTACCCAGGGGGACCCTTTCTGCTGCTACCCTAACAGGGAGACCTAGCATTCTAGTGTCCCAACACTGAAAAGATAAAGAATAGTGACTGTCCCTGTGCCTCGGCTACTCTTCCATGTGCAAGTTTAGAGCAACGAAACTCTCTGAACTAAACTTCCTCTGTGGCGGCTCTTCCAGCTGGAGCTGTTGGGCCCCTGTCCCTGGAGGCAGCACCACCTCCCAGCTGGCTGCAGCTGCACTTTAGTCCACTCTCCCAAGCCCCAGGGAGCTCCCCTCCTTTCCTTCCTCCATCGCAGGAGCATCTCTCACCCCTCTGCGTTGTCAGTCCTGAGCCCATGGTTGGTCTGTGGCCCGCGGCTCCCCGTGCTATGACTTCCCCTGTCTTTAGAAGTTCGTTGTGGTACTGAATTCAGGGAGCTTCTCCAGCTTCAGGGGCTCTTGGCTGCCATGTGAGGAGACCCTGGTCCAGGGTGGGGCTCCTGTCTCACTTGGCTATGGTACTTTATCTCTGCAGCTCGGAGGAACTTCTTGTCTCCATGCAAATAAAAGCCAGGCTCTTGCAGTCTACACATAGGGCAGTCACCCCACCACCCTTCTCACTTCACTGTCCCTTTCCTCCTCTCCTAATCTGCTAAGACACCAGCAGCTGCTCAGCCATCCCCGCCCCACTGGCTCTCTTCTCTCATCCTGCTGTTCCCTCCTCGGAGCTGCACTCCAGCCTCAACGCCTCGCCTTCTTGGTGACTTCCGGTTGGCTGGAAAAGCAGCTGGACCTTCCCAGCATTCTTTGTGAGGGAATTACACTTTCCAGATCCTCTCCTGGGTGGCTCTCTGCCACCAGCACTCACTGTTTTACTCCTGACATGCACTTCCTGTGGCCTAAGCAGGCATGGTGTCTGTCTCTGTACTTAGCTGATGCGCGTCCCTCTGTGAAGGAGGAGAGGTTTGCGCTATCCTCCGTTACTGACCTTGTGTTCACTTCCTGTGTCCATCGGAGGCCACAAGCACCGTGAGCAGGAAGCCTTCAGTGATCCCCTCCCCTCCGCACAGTACCCTGCAGGACAAAGCTGTTGTGGAGAACAGCGACATAAGTGACTGATTTAGGCCAGCTGATTGGAGAGTTTGCTTTTTTTTTTTTCTTTTTTTTTTAAGTCTGCTGACCCAGCAAGGGAGGAAGACATAGGAAAAAGTGTTCCACTATGGTCTTCTCTAGAAGCTAAATTTAGGATCAGTAGGTAGGTGACTGAGCTGAAATAGTCCTTTAAGTCACCCACTATGCTGCGCAGAATCGGACTGTATCGACAGTGACATTCCCCGTGCACTGGGACTGAGGAATGCCAGCCTGTCACTTTCGTGTTCGTTTGTTTGTTTTCCTCATTTCACTTCACTTGGGATATTAAAGATTGCACAGAAATGTGGCTCATCAAAGGTGGCGAAAGGAGGCGTGGGGTGTTTGGCTAAAGATTGGCAGAGTGGGTGTTGCATAGAAGTATTGGATATCACCCTGCAACCCAGCACTAATGTTTGTAAGACTGTGTAGTAATTCCACTTTTATGGAAAGGTGTCTGCTGGCCTGTCCACGCAGAGCCACTGGGTGTCCCTCTGAGAGCCTAAAAAGAAACGCTAAGTACCGGCGCTAAGCGGTCGGCGGCATGGCAAACCCATGCTTTAACTTTTCTTTCACTTATCCTAAGAAAGCTGTGGGACTTCTCTGATTCAAGAATGGGAAGTGAACTCCAAATAAAGCTGTGCTGACTTTGTATTTGTAATGCACGTTTTCTCTCGCTGTTTCTGTTTAGAAGATAAATGCCCTCCCTGGATATTTTCTGTGCCTCTTCCTTCTGGGTGTCTATTTGAAGGGTTCTGTTTTGTCTTGTTTCTCCTTTAATTGGCTGCACAGGAAGATCCATCCTGCATTGTGAGTTCGCATTTTCTTCACTGTCTGCCGTGCATCCCATTGTCTGTGCCCACACAGCATGGCCAGCGCCACATCCGCCTCCTGTTCGGTGCCACCTCTCCAAATACAGAAAGCCCCTCACGCCGAGCATGCCCATGTCGTCCACATCCGGCGCACGGACGGAGAGCGGACCGGCCCGTAGCCTCACGTGACACTGACCAGTTTCCTCTTCCTGTCGGTTTCCCTGTCACAGATACTGCAATGAACACTTGCTCTGCCCGCCGCACGTGTTCTGGACAGGCTGGGGGCCTTGGGAAAGGTGCACTGCCCAGTGCGGGGGTGGCATCCAGGCGCGCCGCAGGACCTGCGAGAACGGGCCCGGCTGCGTAGGCTGCGACGTGGTAAGTAGCCTCCTCTTCCTTGTGGCCGATCCACAGTCCAGCCCTGGGTGTCCAGGCTTGACAGCCACAAGGAGTTCTGCACACAGTAGGTGCTCTTAATACATAAGTCATACCACACATGCCACACACTGTAGGCGCACTTCATCCACTCTACGCACACGGTGTTCTGCAACCCCTTTATGTTCTGCAAGTCTTAAGTGCTCCACAGTCCCCTCACATGCTTGCTGCAGATCCTAGGTGTACTCACTCACCAGGTTTCTACAGGCGCTGGCCATCCGCAGACACTGTGCTCTGAGGGTGTTCATTCTCTGTGGACACAATATGTCCAGGTACCAGGCGCTTTGTGCGCACGAGAAGCTGCGTGTCACACGGGTTTCTCTAGTTAGTAAGAATGTCTGCGTGGAACTCTGAAAATTCCAGATATGTGAATTGAATCTTCACGTGTGGCATACACTGCCCAGGACTTTTCAAGTTTTGAGTTCTGAGCTGTGACAACAGCTTCAGGCAGCTAACTCTGATCTCCATGTTTGGGTTGGGAAAAGGGGTGATTTCCTGTGCCTGGCTCTTGCCAAAGCACAGAACAAAAGATGAATCCCACTCACTCTGAGGATGGAGGAACTGAAGGGCCATCATCTGATCACTGGTGCCAACTCAGAAGTAAGACTAGTCAATTTGTGATTTTGCTTTTTCTCCCAGCTTAGTAGCTCGTGTCTTTGAACACGTGAAACAGTCAAAGACAATTTCGCTTGTGCGAGCCCTTTGCTCGAACCCCGTTGAGTGGTGTCCTTGTTCTGTGAGGATTACTGAGCCCTGGCACCTGTGAGACACTCGCCACACTCCCCTTCTGAGGTACCATCTCCACGGGGCAGATCCGAGATGAGCAAGTGCTTGGTGGCGAAGCTCAGCGTCTCCCTGCTGGCCTTTGTGGTCGGTCTCTGCAGAAGTTCTATCCCTGAGTTTGTGAGGTTGAGCCAGGATGTCTCTGTGCCACTGGAAAGCTTTTGGGGGACACTAAGCTACACTCCCCCTCAACAGCCTTGGGGACTTCAAGGAGTGGATGAACATTATGAGGTGCTTTGCGTATCTTACACCAGACCTATGGAGCATGCATATTGGAATTTGCAAATATAGTTTATCCCCATCAAGCTGACAAAGAAAAAGTATCACAGTAGTGCTAATTGAATGTTTCTGATCATAGCAACCACTCTTCCCAGATGATTCTGAACTAACTAAACTTAAAAAAATCCAGCATGCAGGGTACATAGTAACTATATTTTTATAGATAAATTAATGCAGATATTTCTGATGCTAAAATTGAAAATTATGTATTAAAATGAGAAGGATAAATTTACAAACACTTGCTTGTTATTGGAAAGCCCAGCACAGCAGGGTACTTCTATCCTTTACTGAGCTACCTCCTCTGAGCCTGCTGCTTAGTGTCCAAGTGCTGTGGTCTGCACCTTATATCAAAGCTCATCCCACCTGAGGAGACCTCAAGAGAGGGCGCCTGGAGTGCACCTTGGAGCTGGGATTCTAAACACCCTTATCCGAAAAATTCAGAAAGTAGTGCACCTTATTCACTTTCTTACTGTGAATTGTCTTCTATAATTACGTTAAAAACAGGCTCATGAAATATATATATTTCTAAATATATATATTTAGCTAAAAGAAGAGTAGATCTCTTATGAAGTTACTGGAGAGTATGTGTGTATTTCACACATCAGATTATATTGTACAACTTGAAGGACTTCCTGAATGGCAGTGTGCTTCTTGCCTTGTTATCGGAATATAGTTTATGAAACAAATGTAACTTCAACTTCCAAATATAGAAAGATGCTATTGGTATCTTCAAGGGGATTAACCTTCTAGGTACTTCAGTGATTTGTACTTGCTGGTCTTCCCACCAAGCTTCACCTCCCGTCAGGTTTCCTCTAGATAGGTGCTAGGGTGCCAGAAGGGAGCTCCTGCTTTTTTCTGGGAGAAGTAAGGCTTGTTTTCCTTCTCACCTGACTTTCCCACACACCCAGCTTTCTGCCCTCCTTGGGCGTTGTTCAGCCCAAGCCCACGGAGGGCCAAGGGCTTGCTTCCTTTGGATTGCTTGGAAAATATATCCTATCCATTACTTTGCTGAGAAGTTTATTTTAAGGTCATAGCTATGTGCCTAAAGTGGCATATTTGGTCTTTCTATTCTAGCTGAGCTTATAAATCTTCAGACTGCAAATGTGTTTGTTTTTGAAGGAAGTCTTTTATCAAGATAGTAGTTGTGGGCCGATGAGACTCTCATTGGACTAAGCACCTGCTTAGGCAAGCGCAGGGACCGGGTTTGATCCCCAGCACCATATGCAGTGCAGACCGTGACTCTGGGCTCACTGAGCTGGCTACCGAGACAGGGCATGGTGGCACATGCCTATTATCCCAACAGTGGGAAGCTAAAACAGGAGGATCACTATGAGTCCAAGCTGCATTGTGAGACCCTGTACCAGATACTTTTTTTTGAAAAAAGCTAGTAGCTGTAAGCATAGCTAATTTGTTGATTCAGAGTCTCGGAGTGATCATCGCTTGCCAGTATCAAGCTGGATGTCCAGTGAGGTGCTGGTGGGAGTCTCAGTCCGCTGCTGTGAGGAGAGGCTAACAGTTCCCTCTACCCCCCACCCAGATCCCCTGGACCACAGGTGGTGTAGACGGCCTGGCTCTGGCAGAGGTCTTACATTTAAGTTCTGCTTTTCACTGTCATTTCTTTAATTGCTGTCCCTGGGTGGCAGCTGCTTCTCAGGGCTCCAGCTTGTTAAAGTCGGTAGTGTGCTAATGAAACGTTATTTAGCAGCAAAGGACATGTTTGTGAAATGTGTATGAACGTGAGGCAATAGATAAACGAGGGCCGCTGTTTCACGTCCAGATACACGTAGGCTGGAAGGGACTTCGCAAGCGTCTGCCTCTGCTCCAGCCACCAACTGAAAACTTAATTTCACACAGACGTGCTCAGTGCTCCTTTGAACCCCACCTGCCCTTGTCCTTGGGTATGTCAACAAGCCTTCGTTTCATCTCAGCAGAGAGGGTCAGTTCACTTCCTCAAGACCCTCACCAAAAGGTGCTAATGAAGGCCAGCTTGGAAACTCTGAGCCCAGATGCAGAGGGAAGCCTCGGTTCCCCCTGGCCACTTTGTGTGCATTGGCACCTGCTCGGTGCCTCTGGGCTCCTGCATCCTCCTCTACAAATGGCAGGCCCAGAGGCGGGACGCAATGGTCCTGGGACTCCGTGCTTCAGTCCCTGGAACCATGAGACACAAACATCCGGGCAGCTGAATGAGCAGCTCCAGCAGTAGCCCTTCCTGTGTGCTGCCAGAAACCTCAGAAGAGCCCAGAGTGAGATGCAGTGGGATGCTGAAAGAGG